GATAGTTCTTATGGGTACCGGCGCTAATGCAGACAAACATGCAATATGAAGAGTCATCTATCGAATAGTTTCTATTCGTCAATGATTTCAATAAGCTATGAAAATTGAAAAAAAAAATGAAAAATTATTCAATTAATTAAAAATGACTATCGAAATTGATACATCGTCAAATCCTAATTTAGTCTATTTGATAGACCAAATTCGTTCAAATCTTTCAACTTCAAATGAAAATGAAACTATGAGAGAAACTCCTCGTGCTCATGCATGGCTTTTAACAACATTATCAATTTATGGTGATCAAATTAATGTTTTAATTGATTTATATCGTTTATTTCGTGAACAAAATTCTTATATATTATTAACATTTATAATAGAACATATTTTACAATATCATATAAATGAAATAGATAAAAATAATTATTTACAAGATGAATTTCAATTAATATTTACAACTTCTTCTAATAAGTAAGAGAAAATTTGTTTTTTTTTTCTCTTCAAAAATAAATTCAAATAAAAAATTTTAGTTTAATTGAAAAAGATCAATTTTCTTATTATCATCTTTATTCACTTTTATCATCATCAACACGTGATATAATATCATCATTATTAATACGTAAATGGTATGATGAACTTGAAAAAAATCTTTTATTATCAACAAAATCAATAGAATCATTAAATCAATGTCGTAAAAAAGCTTTTGCTTGTTTATCATTATTATCATCATCATCATCAATATCATCAATCCTTCAATTAATAATAAATACAGAAGATAAAATTGGTTTTAATACAAAACTAACATCATTAAATATATTACGTTGTTTATTTGTACAAGATCTTTTACCAATTGTATTAGAAAATCGTCAACGTTTAAATATTCAATCACATTTATGTCATAAATGGTTAATTTATGCTATTGAATTTTATTTAGAATATTTAATAAAATGTTTTAAAAATAATTATATAACAAATATTCATATTAAATTAGAAGGAAATTATGATCGAACATATCAATGTGATAATCCTATTGAACAAATTGAAAAATTAATGAATTTAGCTATGAGTGTACAAGAAAATTTTTCATGGCAACAATTTATTCTTTATCATGGTAATCAAATGTATGTATTATTTTGAGAAAAAATATTTTATAAGATTAAAATTAAGAATTTTTGACGAAGAAAAATCTTAGTGAATAAAAGAAAAGAAAATAAATTACAAAAAATTCTTTATTCCTACATCATTTATCATTCTTTTGGTTTCCTATTACCTTCTTTTTTTCGAATAAATCTTGAGAACATCTTCAGAAATACATATTTTTTCCGCTAGAATTTTCTTTGTAAACTGTGGTAAATATTAATAGTATGCAAACAAAAAAAAAATCTGAACATCCAAAATACTTTCTAAGAATAGTAGAAAAAGATTTCAGTTTGGTATAATATATTGTGCTTGAGAAATGGGGATAGTTCGCCATTTTTGTTTTGTCAAAAGCTAATTTTTCACAAAAAAAGTAAAATAATGTGAAAATTTTGATGTCTTTTTTTAAACGAAAATGTTTCATCGCCTTCGAGAAAAAAAAATGGAAAATTTTGAGTCTAAAAAATGGAAAATTTTTCTTAACAAACTTGCATTAAGGTAGGTGTAATTTATGTACTGTAACAATCTCAAAGAAGCTTTAATATTTATCAAAATGATGTCTTTTTCGTTGGTATGTTTTGTTTTTTTGATTGAATCGCTCGACAATAGAATAAGTTCTCTTGATGTTATTGTTCTTCTTACTATGTGTTCCTAAAAATATCAAAATCTCTTACAATAAAGTAATTCATGAATTTAGAAAGGCAACTAATCATAAAGCTTGATTAGACTTCATATTTTGTCATAGACTTTCTTATTATTCAACATGTATTTTTCAAGTATATCGACTTTTTTTCATAACGTTCGATATCCTTCTTCTACAATTACATAATGTCTAGATTGTCATATAACTATAGGTTGAGAATCATCATAGAATTGATAAATATGTTCTGGGATGTGACTACTCTTGATGAAACAGTATATATATGATTAACAATCTGAACTATTTAAATATTAGTTTGTTCGATACAGTTTAATTTCTATTTTCATATTTGTTTCGAAATATTGATATTACTTTCTCATATTTTTAGTGAATCCACTAATCGTCGTCAAAAATTATTAGAATTACGTATACTTATTGATCGTGCTCATAATTCTACAATTCGATGTCCATTAGAATGTTTTATTTTTTGTACATCATTTCCTATTTATATTCAATCAATACTTAATCTTTCATCATTACTTAATAGTGAAATATATAAAGATTATATATTTATATGTACAACAATATCAATAAAAACTTTAATAAATAAACAAAATGAAATAAATAATTTTGAATTAATTGAAAATTTTAATTTATTTATTGAATGTCTTAATTTATTACAACAATCTCAAACATCTTCATGTTTAAAACTTTATCAAGAAACAATTGATAAAATTCATTTAAATTCTAATATTGAAAATTATCAACGTTTATTAAAACTTTTTTATTTTCATTATATTATACAAAAGTCTAAAATAGAAAAGACTAATAAAACAAATGAAGAAACAAATCAAAATAATATAATAATTATTGAGTAAGTAAGATATAAATTAATAAATAGATTTCTAGCAAGAATACAAAAAAAATTTCAAAATAAAATTTTTTAATATGACAAAACAAACATACAATAAAATCTCTCTATTGAGAACATTGAAGATTTTTCCATCGTATTAAATACCAAAACTAGTTAGGAATAATTTTAATTGTATTTTATGAAATATTTTGAAATAGTCACCATAATTATTTATACAAAGTTCCATTCTTTGTAATAATTTATCTAATGTTCTTTTAAATTTTTCTTCTGGAATATTTTTAACTATGTTAAAAACCGCACGAATCAATGAATTTTTATTTGTTTGGTGAATTAAGTTACGCTTGATATAATCATTTAAACAAAAATCGCATGCTGCAAGGTCTGGTGAAAATGGCGGATTCAGTATTATATTAAGACTTTCTTGTGTTAAATAATTAATAATATCTGGATGAGTATGAGGTCGAACATTGTCATGAAGTAATTTTATACCTTATGTATTTGATGACTTCCTTTATTTTCATGTTTCATTGACAATAGGCTTGAAGCAACTTTCCATATAATAGTTATGATCTATTGACTTGTCTTTACCTACACTATATACAAGAACACAACCGTTTGATTTACAGAATAGAAAGAGAGGGGTCTCAGCTACAATATCATTACAAGTTGAATGTGGATCATTGTTGATAACCTGTCGTACTAGTTCAATATTTACATCTGTCAGCTTGGAAAATGGACGATCAAATCGAGAGTCTTCATTGACATCTTCTCTTCCTTCATGAAAACGCTTTATCCATCTTGCAAGTGTTCGATACGATGGGAGCGTGAGGTCCCAGTGCTGCTATACGTTCCTCGTGATTTGTCTTGGATCTATTCTCAAAATAGTTCGCATTGGATTCTATCAGAAACAATATTAAAAATAAATCCAATATAGATTTACTGTATATATTATTATAGGCAAGACATTCTACTATTTATCCATGCAATAGACTCTTAATCTTTCATGTATATATCACTGATCGAAATAAAATCTTTTTTTTTCTCGAATGCGCATCTTGCATAGAATTTTTGATAGTCGAAATCAGAAAAGAGAGATAATTTGTTTACGGATGTATTAGTTAAAAAGAGGCCGATATGTAAAGTGAAAGAAGGAATGTCTAGACGAGTGCATGGTCGTGCTGAATATATATATATATTTAATCACGACATATAATTTCTACTAATATTACAAATATCATGTGCATGATTGTTTTGCATGTTCATTCATTCGATGCAATTATTGTAGCTATATATTATGTATTGCATATTTTTTTTTCAAAAACTCTCATTTTCATCGATTAAATGATTTACTCGATTTTTCTTTGTTTTTTGTTGATTCTTTTTTGATTTATAAACATGTTATCACATGATGCAAAAACACGCGAATTCATACTTTCAATTCTTATTAACTTAAGTACTCACAAATGAGTTGACATATCCATATGCACGCTCATTATGAAATGAATATATATGTCGAAAATGTCAAATAAATCAATACTTGTATCATTGAACAAGAGTACATATTATTTTTTGATAATCAATTAGTATGTCAAACATGTTTAGTCAAGATATCGAATATATTAGTACAGTAAAACTAGTAATAGTAATAATTGTACATATATCTCGGTTCAGAAGCCTCGAAAATCAAACCCTAATTGATTAAGATCTATCGTTTAAGCAGCGATTTGACCAGTTGAGAATGTTTCTTCGTAAGCTACATATGCAAAACAAACGTATGGAAGATAATACACGAATGAATACAATTATTTAGAAATATATATATATATTTATATTTATCTATTTTAGTGATACACCACAAAGTCCAACAATGCAAGATGAATCAAATTCTATAGTTAATAATAGTCCATTACTTGCACTTGATATAGAAAATTTAATTCAAAAATTAAATGATAATTCTCTTGAATCACGTCTTCAAATTTGTTCACTTTTTCCTATATCACATTTATCTGATCAACGTCATTCAACAATATCATTTTGTATTGATACATTAATATATCTTTATGAAAATTATTCATCAAATACTCAACAACAACAACAACAACAACAACAAACATTATTATCAATTTCAACTGATTATTGTTTTATACCTTGTTCATATAATATTTTCTTTGATTATATATTAGATATTATTCTTCAAAATGTTTCACCAACACTTATTCTTTTACAAATTGAACAAGAACGTTTATCATTATCATCATTATCATCAACAACAACATCTATTTATCCAAAAAATTTACTTCATACATTATCACCAACATTACTTCGTTATATATATGATCAAAAATTACTTGGACAATTATTAAAATATATACAAACAACAACAACAAATGAACGACGTTGGATAACAAATAATAATAAAAGAAAACTTGATGATGAAGAAAATAAATTAACTGATGAACAATTTATTGAAAAAATTATTCAACATTTTAGTAATATTACACAATGGACAGATGAACAACGACGTTATGCGATTTATACATATATTATTGATCAACGACAAATTCTTCTTCAATCATTATAATTCATTTATTTTGTCTTTTGTTATTTCATTAAAATAAAAAAATAAAAAAGTCGCTTCATTACTTAGATAAAGAAAATAAAAAATTTTCCGCGTTTTAGAATCCTTTCAAATACTTGAATAAAAAAAGCATTTATTTCAATAGACACACTTCAATCAAGATAAAAATGAATATTTGCTATTTATATTAAAACTTATCAGGTCATTGTTTTCATTCATCACAAAAATATTCCTATGCTTACTTGATTAGATTTACATGTCATGTATTCATATTGAGCGTGATACGTTTATATAGATACTATAAAGAAAAAAAACGTAAAAAGAATAAAGAAAAGAAAAAGACAATTAAGAAAGTGGGAGTTATTGCTTATGGGCACTTAGAAGATATAAAATGTGATGCTCCTCTGGTTTTTTTTTTTATTTATAAAACAATACATTCTTACTTGAAACCAGCCAAGCATATACATATTCTTCTATCCTTTAAAAAAAAGTGCGTCTTTCTATAAAAAGAAATCCCTCTGATTATAAATTAACATCACACATTCACATTTTATCATTACATCGAAAAAGATCACAAGCATGCAAATATACTCCCATTTAATTTGGTTATTATTAGCATTTACTATCGTTTTAATCCAGTATGTTTGTTTGTTTAAAAAAATTAAAGGTTTTTTTTTTGTTTTTCAGTGCACGAAATGTTCATTATGATTTTAATGATCAATTAGATGATGATGATTATAATGTCAATGCACGGAAAAGACAAATGCTTCATGTCAATCGTAATATTCATAGATCATCAATATTTGACAAAGATTTATCCGATCTTTTTAAAAATGAAGAAAATATTCTAAATGCACAAGAACGATCATTAGCTAGTGCAAGAAAAGTTAAAGCTATTGTCAAAGGTGATCCAAGAGAATTTATGGGATAAAATCGACTGTAATTTTTAGTTTTGAATAAATAAAATATTCAATATCAATTCTATATCGACATAAATTATTGTTATTAATGAAAAATATAAACTATTTATTAAAGTTCTATAACTAGATCCATTGGTGGATTCTGGTTACATTTTGAAAAGCTTTGAAATTTGTTGAATTCATTTTACCGAAGGTAATTTACTGCCTTTGGCAGACAATTGATTTATAAATCAAGGTTGGAACGGTGTTCTCCGGAATAAGTGGTCTGCCAGGAAAAATTCAAGAAAGCTTGTCTATCTTTAGTTTTTAGTATAATATCAATAAACTGTTGTTGACGATTTATTTCATACTTTTGTCGGTCAGGAAAATTTCTCGTGCTTTTCTGCTTGACTCAAGGCAGATCTAGCAAATACTGCTGCCCGGAATGAATGTATCATAAATCTATCGGTTTCAAAAAACAATTTTCTGAGTCGCATAACCAATTTTATTTATTTACATTTATTCATTTATGAAAAAGATCAATATTAACAATATATATATAAATTGTGTACATTTCAAAATTTCTGCAAAATTTTCTTCTGACATTTATTTTATACATGGTTGGATAGAATATATTGAATTATCAGAAAAAAAAGTGCATCTGTAATTTTCAAAAAGTAGATTTGAAAAGAAATCGTGAATATAATATTTGTTTTTGGCTCTGTGCAGCTACTTAATCCTTTACCCCCAAATAGCAGTTCCAGAAGAGCCACTGATAAAATAACTTTATAAATAAAATATTAGCCTCTCTAACAGGCCAATGATGTGGTCTGATCCATCAAATGTCCTGCTCCTAGAGTAGGATGGCTCGATAGATTCAGCGATCATGTAGTGGAAAAAGGAAATTGAACAATATCATGAGACTTGAGTTTTTTTTCTTTGACCACACTATTGAATGGGCAGAAGCAACATATATCCCATGCTTTAGAAATAATGGGAAAAGAAACAATTGTAAACCGATAAGAATTAATACCAAAGGATGCATACGTTTTTTATACGTATTGTCAAATGAGAGTCTTTTTCGCTCTGAGCCATTTTTTGATCTCAGAAGAAATTTAATTCATAATAAATACTATTTCAACTTGTCATGAGTTGAGGTTTATAATGCATATATTAACTTTGTTCTGGATTGCCCTCCATCTACCCAATAGTGTCTACATGGTCAATAGTGTGTCTGAGCATGTGTAATTCGTCAAGTTATCATGAAACTTTTGAAAAATATTTTACTCATTAGTGAACTTCTTCATCAATTAATATCGCACAGAAATTTCAAACGATCTCTATTGCCTATGGGCATAGAATAATTTATTTGAAAAGTTTCAATTTTTTTCATTTATTTCAAAATTATCGATTTTGAAGGCCCGATATTTCAAAGACGGAACAATGAAAAAAAAATACTATTTTTACCAATTGATAATCCATGATGTTTACTACAAAAAAGGTTCTTATCCTTTTTGAATCCTACGCTTCGTTTATTTTCTGCAATGTTTCTAAAACTGGCAATTCCAGTTGCCAATGAGGAGTAAAGGGTTAAATATTTTTTCTACTTCGCGACACAAAATTGAGTAGAAAAAAGTAGTCTTAAAATAACTTGCTTCTATCTAATTTTGTACTACGAAGCGGAAAAAAATATTTAAACAGTCACATAGAATGCAAACAAGTAATGTTCATCGAAATTCGATTCACTTGGTACTAGATTGACCAAAGAGAGATACACATCTAGATATAAATGTTCATTAAGTAAGGTATCAGATAAATACAAGAGGTGACTTTTGTTCTTTTTGTATTTTTTTTTAAAACTTTATTTTCAATTTGAAATGATAATTGAGTATAGCGAATGAAAAGTTGTTTTTATCATATATTGATATATGTCTAATTCTGAAACTCTGTAACAACATTATCATGCACTATTTTTCTAATTTTCTAATAGTTAATACTGACAAAATTCGATACAGAAATTGCTCAACAATCTCTGATTTTTAACGATGAATGATTAAAACTCATCAGACTACAATTTTCATGTATACACCACTGAACAATCAATCAAATCATTCAATAGTTTAATAACAATGATTTTCACTTGTAAATCTTAAACGATCGTAACACTGAATCATGGAAAAACTAAATTATTGTCGTATAGGTTGAAATATCGAGTAATCGGATCGTTTTACAGCATATACGAATTTCGTACTCTTCATCATGGGATATTACTCCTCCGTTAATTTGAATCCTAATGCATAGATGCCCTTTTTTTGTCATTCTATGCAATCATTCGTACCATAGCAACTAGATGATAATTTGTATCATAGTTACCGTATGGCAACTATGTTATAGACAGACACAGGTGAATATCCGTTTCTAGGTCCTATCTTTTCAGTCTAGGGAAAATATTATATTCACAGTTATATGAAAATTGATATCTTTTGTAATGAAATATAAAAGTATCTTTGAAAATCGAAGAAACACTTTTCCTCGATATCTCAATATTTTCGATCCAATCATGCATAAAAAAGTGAAAAAGAAACGTTTAGAACACTTTTGAATTGTGCACGCCTAATAAGATGTCTCTATCTATTATGCGATTGAATTTGAGATTTGTAACCATAATTATTGCAAGGATACATTCGTCGTAAAATTTTATATAAAATTTTCAATCAGAATGCTACTCAAAAATTCTTGTATGCCTAAAAAGTTGGCTAACGACTTAAACCGTTTCTCATGGAATTTTTATCTGTCATAGAATGAGTTATATGTCATACATTACTTTGAACGACCTTGGCCTTAGTGTTATCTTTTAAGATACTTTCAGATTCGATACTCTAATCACTTTCAAGTGTCGTTGGTTCTTAGATTTCCTAGGTGGGTTTGAGGGTGAAAAGTGCTTTTAATGTCGGCAACGTTTCTATCGAATCTTTGCGGACAATGTGAGAAGCAATGAATTTGAATGTAACGAGAGTATCGAGTCTGAAGGTCTCTTAAAAGCTAATACTAAGGTCGAAATAGTTTAAAATAGTATTTTACATGTAACTGCATTCAATATTAGTGGATTAACATCAGTTTCATGCTTGCGGCGAAAATTTTCTCAGTTGTATCTCTGGGAAAAATTTCATGAGAAAAAATTTAACGTGAGCCAAGTTTTTAGGCATCCCAGGATTTCTGGGTAGCGTTGTAATTGAAAATTTTCTATGAAATTTTTACGATGATTGTATCTTTGCAATAATTACGATTTAAAACCTTAAAGTTTATCGTATAGCAGATAAAGAGACACCTAAAGGATGGTCGAAAAGTTTCGACCCTTCTCAATAAATCAATGACAAAGCTATAGGATAGTTCACTGATCAAAATATGTAATCTTATAGAAGAAGATTGAAGGTATCATCTGAAAAAAAGATACTTCGAAATGCATAAAAGTAGTGCAATGTTATCGTCATTTTACTAGTCTTGAGCGAATATTTCCATATTATATTTTTTGAGAAAAGAAAAAGTATTTTTTCAATAAAATATTTAAATGATTTATAAGTTAATCAGATTGACATTTTGTATAAATATCAATAAATCAAAAATATCCTCTATTTGACTTTGAAATAAATACTGCGATTTTGTTAATAAAACTGTCGGAAAGATAAATCCAATCAATTGACATATTAGAGAGTATATCCGAAATAATAAACTTCATAAAATAAGACTATCAATATGAAGTGTTATAAAGCTACCATCATAATCAATGTTAGATAAAAATGGACTGTCGCAGACACTATAGAAAACCAAAATGTTTATCACTTCAACGATACTTTCTATGCAGTAAGTACTAATTTCTTCTCGATATATTTTCATCATCTTCAGTTAAAGCCAAGTTCTCATTGTATTATTGTATAAAGCTTAATTCATTTTTACTAGTTCTTTCAACAATCAAAGAAGTCTAATCTAGTGATTCGTGTATTCGATTCACTAGTTTTACATGATGTACTCGAGAGCAACATAGCAAAAAAAAAAAGCGTTTTATTTCAGAATGAAGTATCTCGATCAATTGACACAGACGTTATTTTTCTCTGGTATTTGAGTTGAGGATGAGTAATAATCTTTGTGCTTTGAAAGTCACATTAGATCTCTGATTTGTTCAAAATATGAACAATAATTATCAAAATTCAACAATTTTCAGCTTTCTCTTACTTTTCCTCGTAGGAAATTATGTCATGATAGGCGTGTTCAGTGTTAGCAATCTATTAAAATTTCGAAAAAAGTTATAAAGATTTGATCTTGTGATTCGAGTAGAACATTCAATGGCGCATCCTTTCAAAAAAAAAAAGAGATCAACATTTTATCTTATTCCTGAAGAGAGTTACATGTAAAACAGAAAATGTCGAAAAACTTTTGCCACACCCGGTATATACTGTTGATATTAGTCTTTTTCATTAACAAAAAACATATAAGTACTAAATGAAATTGGTTCTGTGGTTTAAAATTTAATGAACATATCCTTTATTGATTCAATAGTCTGTCTGTGTTTCCAAAGGTTCGTTGGTACTGAATGTGAGAATAATAAATTCTGAAATCGTTTTAGAATGAATGAGATGTTCTTAGTATCATATTGATGTGTATTCTATATCTGTATAAAAATTTAAAATCGTATTCGAAGAACATCGCTAATCTAGTATAAATAAACGAATAAGATTTTCGGTATCAAAAAAAATTTCAATCTAGATTAGACTCTTCAATTCATCTTCATTTTCTTATAATATTAATACAGTATTGACTTAAGTTATTTTCGATAAAACTCGTTAAAATATCCAATAAATATTTACAAGATAAAAACCTTGAAAGAATTACATTCATCAAATCACTTGTGTAAATTTTTTATTATTCAATATATCGAAATATACGTATTTGAATAACAAGTTTATAGCTATTTTTTTTTGTTTAGTACATATAATAATTTATAATTAATAAGATCAAGTGTCATATTTCTTTAAAA